TCTATTTGTGCATCCATATGCAATACAAGCTGACATGCTTCAAAAAGAAAAGAAAAAAAATGTTGCAATGACAGACTTCCTTGCACAAGTCACGGTGATAACAGGAAGATGGCCGCCAAGCTTCACCGTTTGAGTTGAACCTTCCCTCTTCTAACCTCTTGCTATAAACGTCCGTTTCCATGAAAAACGTTGCCGGCTTGGTCCGGCAAAACGTTGATGTTACGTCATATTTTAAGTGCGCAACAAAGGCAATATGGCAGTTAGGATCTTCGTCGAGGACTTTTAAGGATACATTTTTCCTTGGACTTTAAAAATAATGAACTGCTTTCTGCCTCTGAGGACAAAACCTTATTCACAGTTAATGATGAAGGAGTTGTGTTTGTCCATTAAATCATGGCTCAAGACGATATCACAGTACCAGAAAGAACAGAATTTTTACCTTCTCGATCCATAGCCGTAAACAGAAATTTCCAGTACGATTTATTGGAATATGCCAAGAACTCTTAACACCGCGTGGAGTATTAGTAGCCTCGGCACTTGTCGACTTATCGAAGTTAGTTATCCTAGTAAGAGTTGCCAACATCAATGATATAGTGAAAAGCATTAGGAAAGGGGAAGTGGTTGCAGAATGTACTCCAATGACCACCGTTAAACGAAGCTGTAAACTCCAGAATCCCTGTCTTCAGTGAGCATTACGTCGGAGTTATTGCAGAATGCACAATTAAGCGATGAAAAGAGGAGTGCTGCCGAACATGTCATTCAAGAATTTCGAGATGTTTTTTCCTGCTCGTCTTTTAACGTGGGGCGAACTAGTTTGACACAGCGTAGAATTGATACAGGGGATCATCCACCAATCAAGCAACATCCAGGGTGTCTGGCCGATGCTATTTGCATCAGCGGTGCGATTAGCCGCTTAAGTTATTCGCACCACCATTAACTACGCATGCGCATTGAATTTTCAGATCCGTAACGGATTCTACGGACGCGAACTGCCTAAGTGTTGTAGTGAATCTTTTTTTTTTTTTAAAGGCGGGTTAATACCTTGGCGCAGTTTATCATTTTTTAAGCGTTGGCGATTTTCAAAAAATTTAGAAAAGAAAATGGGTTCCTTTTCTTATAAAAAGAAGGAACACATTTCCTTTTATTAAAGAATATAAAAAAGGGTAAATTTTTATGTTCGCAATGTTTATTATTTTCCTGAACTGTTGGAATAATTTAAATGACTGATTGGGGGGGGGGATAAAATCTTGTTTTAAATTTTTTGTACTTCTTAGAATACATTTAGCTTCAAAGATGTGTTTTGCGCAATCAAGACTTTAATTCATTCTTCTTTGAAAATTTTCGTCCGAGAAAAGATAATAAAAATTAGATTTCTGTGTAGAAATTTAGACACGAAATAAGTTAAAAGCGATTAAATCAACTATTAAATGAATAATTAATCATATAATATTGGTTATTAACAATTCTGTATGTTTGCTTATTTTTTTATGGAAATACTTGGCATTTTCAGGACACAAAAAGTACTTCAAAGAACTTTGAAATATTAGTACAAATACATTAATAAATTAAATTGAAATAAATAATGGGTTATAATGTAAGAGATTTAGATTTAAAAATTTGCACACACAAAAGATTTATCAGATTTTATAAGGTTTTATTTCATAAATAACTTTGATTTTGAAATATGGCATTTGAACCTATAAACATGAGTGGATACTGAAAAAGTGATGAATATATAAGAATATTATAATTTTCAGTAAGTTTTCTCATTCAATAATAAATTCTGACAATCCTATGCTATAAGACTAGGGTCTAAGTTTGCATAAAAATTCCTCTGTTAAATATAAGAATTAAAGTAATTTCTGCAGCCTTTTTGTCAATACATTAAAGATTTTGTAACTAATTACATGCCCTCGCTTGCAATTAGAACCATTATTAAATCCCTATTTTATCTAATCATTTCCTGAACATTATCATGTATATAGATTGACATTGTCTTTATAACTGATAATTATTACAGTCAAAAGTCGTTACTTCGGACACCCATAATCCGGAATGATCTATAATCCGGACCTCAAAGCTAAAAACTTTCTGCGCATGTGCCGCGTTGGCACATGCGCACAGGCGTTTTACGCGTGCGCGTAAGACCTTGACTACTGCGCATATGCGTGTGCGCAAGTGCAGATTACGTTTTCGCCTGCGCGTTTAATGTATAACGGACGGTGTAAGCTAAAATTATCTAATTATCTATTTCAGTTAATGTTAATGATTGCGTTGTTCCTTAATCTTCGAATTTGATCCTGCTTATTATTTTTTGCAGACTGTAAGAGCAATTTTATAAAAGTAAACTTGAACTTTCGATTATGCCAAATAGAATTTCCGATGCTGGAACTTCCAAAGGATCTACAAACGAAAGTATGTTTCGATGGTCCAAACAAAAAGTGGAATTGCTGCAAAAAAAAAGACTGGAAACGAGAATGAAGGTTTTTTTTTTTTTTTTTTTTTTTTTTTTTTTTTTTTTTTTGTTTTTTTTTTTTTTTTTTTTTTTTTTTTTTTTTTTTTTTTTTTTTTTTTTTTTTTTTTTTTTTTTTTTTTTTTTTTTTTTTTTTTTTTTTTTTTTTTTTTTTTTTTTTTTTTTTTTTTTTTTTTTTTTTTTTTTTTTTTTTTTTTTCTTTTTTTGTTTTTTTTTTTTTTTTTTTTTTTTTTTTTTTTTTTTTTTTTTTTTTTTTTTTTTTTTTTTTTGTTTTTTTTTTTTTGTTTTTTTTAAAACTACATTTGAAATGTTAATAAAGTAACAAATAAATATTAAGTTTTTTTTTTGAATAAATTTTGATACCCTTTAGATCATAATTGTTCTTTATTTCATAAATTACGGTTTCATATTTTTAATTTTAGAATTTCTGCATGCCATCTTACGAGATTTAAACTGATGATCTATAATCCGGAAAAATCGATAATCCGGAATCGCCGACGTCGACGACGTACTTGCAAATTATTCTCTTGCTGGTGAACTATTAACAATCTTCGCTCTCGCTATCACCTGCCTTACGGAAATCGGCGTAAAATGCTGGTACCTGGGCTGATTGTGTATATGCGCAAACATAGGTGGTGTGAATAGCCTCTTAATTAATAGCCTCGCATCGGCTAATCGCACCGAGTGCGATTAGCCACTGCGAGGGTGTCTACCGATTGCTAAACAGGAAGAGGTAGGAAGGCTTCTAAAGAACATGCAAGAAAGCTATGTTATCGAGCCTTCAGCAAATCCATGGGCATCTCCCATCGTTTTGGTCAGAAAGAAAGGTGGTTGAACTAGATTTTGCTATGACTATCGCCGGTTTAACGAAGCTACAAAGAAAGACAGCTACCCTCTTCTTAGAATTGACGATATTCTCGACACTCTTTCTGGAAGCAAGTGGTTTTCTACGCTTGATATATAGAGTGGATACTGGGAGGTAGAGATATATCCTGATGACCGAGTAAAGGCGGCTTTTACTACCGGACGAGGACTTTGACAGTTCAAGGTGATGCCGTTTGGTGTAATGCGCCGGCAAATTCGAACACCTCATGGAGACTGTGTTGAGAGGTCTGTCTGAAGTACCTGGATGACATCATCGTCGAACATCATTTAGAAGAAAATCTTAGAAAAGTGCTTCAGAAACTGAAAGCAGCCAATCTAAAGTTGAGTCCCACTAAATGCAAACTATTCAGACAAGAAGTGACTTACCTCAGACACGTCGTCTTTGCCGAAGGTATCTGTACAGATCCGGAAAAAGTGTTAGGAGTTAAAGCAGGATGCCTACTAAAGACTAGAGACGCCCCAAAAATGCGCACCAGCTGAAAAGTTTCCTGGGGCTTTGCATCTATTATAAGAGATCTGTGAAGGACTTTTGTTTTATCACAAGACCCCCTTCACAAGCTGAGGAGAGCAAGCAGAAGTTATTGTGGATAAAAGAATGTGAGGATGCATTTAACAAACTGAAGGCGGCTTTAATATCTCTTCCAATCCTGATGCATCCTCAGCTCAACAAACCATTTATTCTCGACACGGATGCGAGCAATCAGAGTGTTGATGGTGTTTTGCCCCAAGAAATAAATGTTCAAAAACGAATCATGGCCTACTAGAGTAAGAATTGGAGCAAGTGCCTATCTAAACTGAGACGAATTATTGTGTAACCAGGAAAGAGTTGCTCACCATAGTTAAAGCCGCAAAACATTCCCATCATTATCTCTATGGCAGAAAACTCTTATTCCACACAGATCATGCACCGTTGACCTGGGTATTCAATTTCAAGAACCCCAAAGGCCAAATAGCCAGGTGAACACAGAGACTCAAGGAATATGACATATCAATTGGTCATCGGAAGGGATCATCACATGGAAATGCCGTCGCCCTGTCTAGAAGACCCTGCTCAGAAAGCTACCGGTATTCTTTCAGGGTTGAAGCGAAATACGAGCTGCTGAATTCGGTCGCACGACAAGTTACAACTTCAACAACAGCTGATTGAGACTCATGGAGTGATTGAAGTCGAGAAAGACCAGTTGGAAGATGCAACATTAAACCCATAATTGATTTAATGGAATGTTCAAGCAGCAAACCCACCTTGCAGAACATTTCAATTATATGACAAAACAATATTGGGCTCTCTGGGAACTTGCATTACATTCAAAATGGCAATTTGTACAGAAATTCGAATTGAAGATAGAAAGACATTCCAATGGCAGCTGTTACTTCCAAGATCCCGGTCGTCCTTAAAGAATTACATAGCAGTCTAACAGGAGGCCACTTCGGAATAATGAAGATGTTACATAGAATCCGAGAGCGCTTCTACTTGAATAATGCAAGGGAAGACGTGCAAAAGTGGTACCAGTCTTGCGATACGTGTGCAAAGTTATATATATTTACTTTTCTTTTTAACATTTCCTATTTAAATTTTCTTACAAATGAATGTTATAATTAATATAGCATACCTGCTTCATTTTCATTCTTTCCATTTTTGTAGGTCCTGCTTCCAGAGATGTAGATGTCTTGGTTCAAATGATCAAAGCCGGAATGAACATTGTTCGATTAAATTTTTCTCACGGAACATATGAGGTAATTTTAGGAACATGAATTTGAAACTTAGATTTATCTTAACCCTTACTATATTGAAATCATTGATTAAGATTGCTAAATGAGTAGTAACCCAGACAGGCTGACTACATGATTGGTTTTGATAATTTTCTCCATGTGCAACATGAATATTTACAAGTTTCCTTAAAACGTTTTCCACAAAGGCATCAATTCCCTGAAGCAGACAGCCATCATGAGCTTTGTCATAATTGAATTACATAGCCTAAATATAATCTTGTAATTTCTTTATCTGATAAATCTTTAAAATTATTTGCCTATATAAACTAAATAACTCATAAGCATTTAATATTGTGGTTCTAGTTAGTAGAAAATTTAATGAGGAATCCTTCTCGGATTTAAAATAAATACTTCTTTTTCACAAAACACTGTTTAATAATTAGGCTAGAAAAACACTACATTCTGTATACTTTAAAATAATTCTTGAATTGAATAATTCTTTGAATGATTACAAAATATACAGATAAATCAGGAAATTAATAAAATACTTTGGTTTATCGACAAGCTATATATTTGTTTTGACTATAATTATATTTTGACAGGGATCATAATCATTTGAAAGTAATATTATTTCTGTGAAGCCTTTCTTTACCTATGTAATGTGACATATATAAGACATTTATGTTCTACATAGGTTTTCGCATATCTGGGTGGTGAACGCCGAGATTTTTGATACAGTAGAATTCCAATAATCCATAGACCTGATGACCAAAGATTATGCTAATTAATGAATTTTCTAAATTATAGCTGACATTTTTCTGAGTTTCGTTTATACTTTTCCTTTCTAATTTTAAACTTAAATCTGTATTCTTTGCACATAAATAACTAAAACACTTATGCATTAGGAATTGTTTATTCAAAATTTGTTAAATAAACTATTACATTTTTAAACATAATTACATACAAAGGAAATAGTATAAGTACAGAGGGAAAACACAGGGTAGAGAAAGCATAGCAGAGACACATTTTTTTTGGGGGGGGGGGTCAATAAGTAAAGAACTCTTCCTTTAAAACCACATTAAAGAATTTTACATTAAAAAATTTTATATTCACAAATGAACTTATTTCATAATAATTTTCATATACTTAACAAGGGAATACTACACTTGGGTTCAAAAGTAAAATAATTTTCTTATTTGGTTGATTACCTCTAGAATTATTGGACAGATTTTGATAAAAATCTGGTGTGAACCTAAGTTGATATCGCAATAAGAGCTTGACTAACCAGAATATTCACTTATTACTTGTTACAAGTTATAAATTCATGCCAGTTGTTAAATATAATGCACAAAATTTAGTGTCTTTTTTGCTATTCAAAAAATAAATTTTCATCCTTCCTGGACAAAATGAAATTAATGAAAACTAATAAAATATAAAACAAATTTTCCTTCTTCTTTGCTCTCATATAAGATTGTGTCAGTTTCTAAAATCTAATTTATTATAGTTAATTTGTATTTAATGTAATCTAAAACGTGAATTTAAAGAAACTACAATAAATTAAACTCTTTTTTTTTTTTTTTTTTTTTTAATGGTAGTCAGCTACGCTAATTGCTATACCTGTTGTGCGACCCTTTATTAGGCACTACTGTAAAGTAGGCTCACTATTTTAATATGTATATTATTTAGGGCTTAATTTCAGCTGAATCCCAGCTCCAGTGCATTTTGGGTTTTAAGAAAAATGTTAATTTCATTTAGATCCCAAACAGTATGGGTTTCCAGTATTTTTATTTATTATTTGCTTTTCTTTAATTTATTAATTTTCTCTGTTTACTTTATTATAATTATTTCCTGTTAGTTTTATTTTATATTTTAGTTTGTTTTCCATGATGATCTTTTAATGTGACTCCAATACTTGTAATTTTGAAGATAAGCCCTGATAAATTTGGCCTGCTAAAAATTGTATAAATTTGGCATTTTTCAGTATCATGCTGGAACAATTAAAAAATCAGGGAAGCTGTTAAAAGTGTAGCAAGGGTAGCTTTATTGTAATTAATTGCATGTTAGTTTTATTTGTTTTATGGTCTTTAAATGTGACTCCAATACTTGTAATTTTGAAGATAAGCCCTGTTATTATTGTGTAAAATTTGGTATTTTTCAGTATCATGCTGGAACAATTAAAAATGCCAGAGAAGCTATTAAAAGGGTAGCAGAAGAAGAAGGACTTGCATCTTATCCTGTAGCAATTGCACTAGATACCAAAGGACCAGAAATCAGGACTGGATTGCTTGAAGGAGTAAGTTTCTTTCGAAATATGTGGTATTTTTACACACTGTTTAAGCAAAATATTCAAGAACATTCTTGTTCTTTGACCTTAATACATGTTGAATCCTCAAACTAACCCCATTTCTGTTTTTCTAGTTAAGTATTTACTGTTTAAATACATTTAATAGCCTGTTTGCTAACTGTTCTTCACTACATATTTTTTATTTTTGTTATGATACCATATTATTTTCATCCATAGTCATCAGAAATTAGGTTAAACTCAATTTTAATGCTCATTATATTGAATTTTTAATTGAGTTAGCTAACCAAGTTACATAGCATTAAATGTTATCAGCATTACAAAGTTAACCATTAAGTCATAAAATTTATTATACTGAATGTTATTAAAACTGTTTGATATGTAAGCATTATTACTAATAAAATTTGGTTCTTATATGTATCTATCAAAAGATGAGAACAAATCCTGGAACATTCTGAATTGGAATTTTTTAATATTCTTAAATAAAAATTTACATGGAAGCCAGTTCTCTTCTCTGCTTAAAATTGACTATAAATATTCCTTTTAATATTTAATTCAGGTAACTGTGCTGGAGATACTAACATTATTTTCATTATTTTTAAAGCATTATTGTGTTGAAAAGCATTGTCAAAATTTATACCATCAGGTCACTGAAGATCAGAGCCTGATTACCACGTATACAGGAGATTAAGATGCAAGAGAGGATTTTTCTTTTATATCCACAAAGTCATTATATCTATTTTTTTTTTTTTTTTTAGTCTTTCTGCTCTGCTATTAAAATTTATTTTCTAATCTAATTGATGTGAAAGGGCTTAACCCCTTAAGGCACACATTAATTTCTAATTTTCGGTCAAAAAATCACCTATTTCTTTTCTTGCATTATTCTCTAGTGCATTTTAAGACATGATCGACAAATAAAAGTAATTTTTAACTAAAAATTTAATTAAAAAATCTTATTTTTAATTTTGGAATAATTTCACTTAAAGTTGTCTTTTGTTATGCTCCTTTGTATTAGAAAAGACAACATACAGGGGTACAAGTATAGGCTAATTTAAAAATATATATATGTATTATACAAACAAAGTGAAAACGATTTGATTACATGTTTATTTTGAATTTCAAGTCATTAAAATCAAATTAAATCAAATTTTCATACTTGCAAACATAAAATTGACTAAAACTTCAGTTTGGTATGATATACCATGAAGCATGGTACTGCATCCTTATCTCAGGCTTTCTAATTATACCTTGTAGTATAGTTATGGCTAAAAATATGTATAATTCTTCCATAGTAATCGGTGACCATAGGTTCTGTGATGATCCTGGATGTTGACATGCATATCTGTTTGTTTCAGTTAGAATTATGTCCATGAGAGAGTTATCAAAAAATAATTCAAAGTATGACAAAGCATCATCGTAATCCGTCAGAGTAAAACAACAGCCAGGGTTTAGCTTCAAATCGAAATCTCGGTGGTGCAACGTTTGGTTGATTTATACTAATTTTGATACCAGTTTCTTTCTTGCTATATCCAAAATCTCGTTGTCATTATCTTCCGATTCACTTCCATTCACTCAAGAAATCATCACTTCTCATCGCTGAAACTGTCTGATAAATTGGCATATTCAAAATTGTCATCGTCAGAGTTGCTCATTATCAGATAACTTTTTTTAAACAATTACAAAAACACTTAGTAAATAGTTAATTTGCAGTTAACTGCTTACTTTTATTATATTCACGTAATAAAAATGGATATATTACCTTTTCCACACCAAACGACTACTTTATAGCAAAGAATTCCTAGCAAACTTATAGCTAATCATCAAAATGTGCCACGTGGTTTACGCAAGAAAAATGCTGAATAGTGGTGCCATCTATGTCAAATAAGTTTAATTATAATCTAGCCTATTTATTTTTACTGGAACGGATCTCAGACAAGAATTAGAAATAAAATAATGCGAGATACAAGGGCGCCCGTGTGAGACACGGGCATATGCAAATTTGCCGGAAACTTTCGCCCATGTGAGACACGGGCAAATGCGTTAAGGGGTTAAAATATATTCCTGATAGTTTCAGCTGATGTAACCTTTCTTCCATAATGTAATATTTTAAAATCAATCAAAACATTTTGTAAAGCTTAATTTTAGCATTTGTTTTTGAATTAGTAATTGCTCAATCATTGCATAAAGTAAATGCTAAATGGTATTTTCGCTTTATTTTTCATTACAATCCTCTTCATATGTGTTTCATTTATTGAAAAAGATACTAATACAGATCCTTTGTAAAAATGAAATAGTATAAAATCATCTATATAAAAAGAGGGATATCTATATCTTAAAAAGTATTATATTTTTGTAACCTTTATAATGTTATTCAGTTTTTTATTAAGCATAATATAGTTACCAATATATAAGTTGGAGACTTTTTAAAACTGTTAAAAATTAATTGAACATTTAAAAATAATTTTGAAAATGTTTTAAATTTTTGTGCAAGATTAAAGCAATCTATAAAAACAGTAGTAAAATTCTATTTGTTTACAAGCTGAATGTAAATATTTTAACCATGTGTTGAAGAAAATCTTATTTAATTTAAATAAAAGAAAGATGCGTATCTAAAATGATTATTTTCAGCAATATACATGTAGCATCTATGCCCAGCTGCTCTCTTGCACAGAAAAAGGATATCATTTTTGGTTTATTTATAACACTTGTAGAATAAATGCATGTATACAATTAATAAAGATTGCATTAATTTCCATAAAATTTCACCACACCAACTAAGCATCCTCTCCTGTTAAAAGCCAATCTCTTTTTCATTAATACAGAGTGTGCTGTTCGGTTTTAATTCAACAATTCTAGGAACCAGGCTTCACGATACATAAGCCTAAGCCAGCTCATTATGGCTCATAATGTAGTTGTAATTTCTCAGAGTAATAAAATTTGTAAAGCTGTATTCACATTAAATAAATTCTATCAGCCACTCTTCTATTTAGAATAATTCAAGTTCCTGCCTTTTTACATTATTATTATAATGTAAAAAGCTTTATTTCTTTTAAAATTAAATTATGAATTATCTTTGGAATTATTGTATATACTTTTTTAATGTAATAATTACAAATTATGGACATAAAAATGTAGGGCAATGTGATATAAATATATTAAATTATTGTTCATCATATAGCAAAAGCTGTTAGCAAATACTCAGATTTTATCTTTCAAAATACCTGAAAAAATAGTCTAGGATGACTAGTTATGGTTGAAAACATGACTGAAGTATTGATCTATTCAGTTAACATTGCATAAAAACTTTATTTTTTATGTTCAAGAAAATAATACTTATTGGATTAGCTCAGTGTCTTAGATTGCTATATGCATTCATGCAATTTTTTTCATTGTTACTTGTTTTGTTTGTACATTTTTAATGTCCTACATTTGATCTTTTATATATATATATATATATATTAATTTATAGTTTGTTGCTGTTTACTTTTAAGTTTGAGTTGTAATTTGGTTTTCTATATGGTATTCTAATCAGGGTGCAACAGCAGAAGTTGAAATGGAGAAAGGTAAAATGGTGAAAGTGACAACTAATGAAGCATATTTAGAAAAATGTTCTGCAGAAGTAATCTATGTTGATTACAAGAACATCACTAAAGTAGTCAGTGTTGGAAGCAGAATTTACGTAGATGATGGTCTAATATCTCTCGTAGTTAAATCAATTGGTAAATAAAATTCTCTACCATTTTATTTTGTTGTGCTTATTTACATATTGGTAGCATTTGGTAAAATTTCTTTTCAACTAATATGTAGAATTTTTAAAGTGTTGAATTGTAAGCTCTTCAAAGCCTTTTCAACCAATTATGTATACCACTGTTATGATAACTGAATACAATTCAGTTGTGTTTTGATTAGTGTGGTTAGTTTTAGCACATACTGGATTAATTGGTCTCCAATATGCATTCAGAGCTGATTTTAATTTTGACAATGCCAGACCAACATACTATGTGCTTAATAAAATTGCTAATAATAAATAATTCATATTTAAAAATGCTTCCCATGTGTCCATGATTGTGTTTTGTCTTATCTAGTATGTCCAGGATATACTGGAAAGTTCTTTTAATGTAGTATGACTTAAATGTCATAATAATACCCACATCTTGTGGCTGGATCAAAGTTGTTATATTATGCATTAGGAATAACTCTCATTTGTATGTTCCCATGTATATTGCCCTGATGCAGTGTCTACAAATAAAAGAATTTTGAATATAAGACCTTTATCATCCATATATTTTTGTGCTTCGGGAATATAAAACAACCAATCAGTAAACATTCTGGCTGTTATCCATGCTTTTTTTGTGAGACATCCAATGTAGAGATAGATTATTTAAGTCTGCACCTTTTGTCAAACATGGAAAATTTGCCCGATCAATAAGTAAAGGTTTCATTAAGACAATCTCTTGAAGCATTGCTGCACATTAACAATGTAATGTGATCTTTGGCAGCTTTAAACCCACTAACAGTTTTCCTCCTTTTGCTAAATATGTTCTGCTTAACATTTTTTCCCAAAATAGACCTGTTTCATCTGCATTTAAACTTGGTCTGGAAAGTATACTCCATCTTCAGTTATTATGGATAACTTTAGAAGAAATTTTTTAGCCATTGTTTCATCAGCAGATGTGACTTCATCCATTATTTTAATGTATAAATTGTATGTCTTTTGAGAAATCTGAACAGTCATCTTGTACTTGCGTAAAATTCATCCTTCGTTTTCAGAGAGAGTCTCCACATCTTCACTCTATTCCTGTTTTTTATAAAAGCTTAAAGCCATCTGCTTAATAATGTTGCCATCTTTTTTATATTATCTTCTATCCATATTACTAGAGCATTTTCCATTTTTCTTCCAATAACAACTTCTGTATGATGTTGATTTTGTGCTAATTTTTGATACGAAAGATAGTGATTCTCTTATAGCAACTTTACTTTTTTTAATGGTTCTTAAATGTGGCTTCATTTGGACCAAACTCCTTAGCCACAGATGTTGAACTTTGTTGTATTTTAAGAGAATTTAAAATGTTTATCTTAACCTTCAATGAAATTGGCTTTTTGTGTGTGTGCTTTATAATTTTGGTGTTACCCAACATAAAATTTGTTAATTATGGTAGTTAATTTATATTGTATAATATCAAGAAAACATTCCACAGCCACAGAGTCAGCCACTAGTTGTCTACATTGTCCATTGGAATTCACACAATTGACTAAACTGCACTGTACATTTTTAGTCATTTTCATCTTTTCCACGTACTTCTCTATGCATGCTGAGTAATGTGTACATGCAAAAGGTATAGATTTTCTCATCCCATACTTCATTAACATTTCGAGCCGTTTGTGCTGCGCTTTGGCCTAGCTTGTACTCATAAAAGTAAATTCGCCAAAAATCCTGTTTTGATGGTTTAAAAAACAAAAACAACCCAAAAAAAAAAAGCATTCCTGAAAGCTATAAAGCTATTAAAAAAGATCAAAAATGCAAAAAATGAAGAATAAAATTTATAAGCGAGCATCGTTGTGTATTTATGCCACATTGAGCATTAGTGATTTTAGGCCATTATCAAATATTCTTTATTTTTATCATTTTAGAAATTTCCTTCTAATATTAATATTTTAATGAAAAATTTTATCATATACCTCATTTTTCTCTGTTATTATTTTTGAGCTGATGATTGAGTGATCTGAAAAGTGCATGCCAGTGGCCAAGCAGTAAAGTCACTGAATACTGGGAGCTCAACCTAAGTTCTATTTCAGGCCAGCGGGCTGCCTGCATGAGCATTTTTATGGTTTTACCCATGTGTAATGTGAAGAAGTGTTTCTAAAACTAAAGCAAAAAACAAATAGCAACATGAAAAGAAAAGTTTAATTGGAATTAATTAACTAGATTGTTAGAACATTATTTCATTGTGAAACACAAGCAAGCGAATTAAACTCTTAATGATGCCCAAACTTAGACTTGTAAATTATTATTTTTTTCCTTAATGTAACATACTTTAACATAATGTGGATATGAGCCAGTTTCCATGAAGTTCTCCATGAAGGGCATCTCTCACCATAGCTCTTGCATGCTTTGCCATAATTAAATAAATCAAACCAAACCAGTGATCTGAGAAAAAAGAGATATGATTGCTTTAAAATAGTTCAGACATGTAATTATAATTATAAGCATAAAATAATTATAACAGGATTTACATAAATGATGGTCTAATGTATCTTGCAGTTAGATCAATTGGTAAGTTAGAATTACCAATTGATTTGACTACAGGAGTTGGCTACATACATGCCTTCAAGCTTCCAGGCTATGAAACCATGTTAGTAGCTGAAAATATAAAAAGAGCCATTCTTTCATATAAAACTGAAGTCGTGGTTTTATTTGATATGTGCTTAATGTATAACTATTTTGTTTTATGCATATATCAACTTTTACCAGTACGGGGGGGGGGAGAAATATAAAAGCAGAAGACAGAAAATAGATTTGAATCAGCTACTTGTCTGATGTAGTGTGTATATTGTCTTTATATTTTTAAGAGTCTTGTCTTCAAATGTTTTCTTATAATAGTTATTACTGCTTAGTAATTTATATACAAGTTCACTATTAAAACTGCAGGTGTTTATGTTTTACGCATGAATAAAATTTTAATGTGTTGTTATAGTTCTGAATATTTGTTTCTTATATATTTATTTACAATTTAGGAACTGATTCTGTTGAATGTGAAGTAGAAAATGGTGGTTTGTTAGGAAGCAAAAAAGGTTGCAATTTACCAGGGGCTGAAGTTGATCTTCCTGCTGTATCTGAAAAGGATAAACAAGATCTTTTGTTTGGAATAGAGCAAGATGTAATAATTTTTTCTCTTTGTTTTCATTTCTTTGTATGATTTATTATTAAATTTCTGTCTGTTTTATTTGAAAGTATTGTTGCATTTTGCGCGGGTTCATAGATTTGGAGTGATTTTTAGCCAGTATTTCAATCAATGATTTGGAGCCAGTATTACTCAGAAAAATTCCAAAAGCATGCTTAAAGTCATAAAAAACTACGACAAGCGCAATGTAATAATCAGCAAAACAGCCTTTAGGTTTATCAGGTCATAACAGTGGAGTCAACTTCACGGCAAAGCACCAGAGTACAGCTCCTGACTCAGTTCTGTCATTCTCGGAACTCTGTCTACTCTCAAGACTGTCCATACTACAACTCTCAATACACTCAAGTACAGCTCCCAACTTGGTTGAGTCATTCTTCGGAGCTCAACACACTCTTAACATAAAACTTGATGATGCACTAACTCACGATACACTAAGAGACTCTCTCTACATTAGACTGACAATCCAACTTGCTAGATGAGAGACTGACTGACTAGACCACTCGATAGACTCGTGAACGACTAAGAGACTCTGACAAGATAAACTGCTACTCTGTATACAGGCATAGTTTATATAGCTTTGGCTTTGCCATTTGGGCCAAACCAGCAGGAATTCGTTCTAGAATGCTCTTCATCAGTCTATGGCATATCACCATTTTTGGCACCAAATTGACGATTTTCACCAAATAATGTCAATCCTACCTTCCTTTGCCAATATCTGGTAACCCTAAACCCACCTTGCAGGGAAGCTCTTTTACCAGGGCTGGACATATTTTAACAGTATTGTGTTTTCTTACATTTACATAAGTAACCTTTTTAATCTCGTCCAGAATTTTGCTTTTGATGAAATTTTTATTAAATATAATCCACATTTAAAAATGATAATTTTGTTGATGGAGGAATTTCTTCACTTTTAATTCAGTCATCTTATAAACTTTTAGTCATTATTTTTTAATTTCTTTTAGGTAGATATGGTATTTGCTTCATTTATTAGGAATGCAAAGGGTGTGAAGGAAATTCGTGAAATATTAGGTGAGAAAGGAAAACATATTTTGATTATCCCCAAAATAGAAAATCATGAAGGTGTTAAAAAGTAAGTACCTTAAAATATTCCTTTTAAGGTTTCACAAAAAATAGATGAATATATACACTGCTTGCCAATATTAATAAATTCTAATTGAAATAAAATTTAATCGTCACTTATTGAAAAATGATAAACTTGTGCAAAAGTATTATTTAATATAGATGTTTAATTTAAAGCCATATTTATGGAAATTAAAAAAGATGGAAAAATTATCTTCGCTGTTTTGCAACAAATATTTCAATATGTCATCTCTGACATATTAAAAAGATGACCTGACATGTTAAAGGTTAACATGACCTGTCATGGTGTATTTTAATCTTTGACAGAAAAGCAAAACCTTCTTTTTTTTTATTTCACACATAATTTATCAAACTGTTGGTCAAGTTCCATGGAGCAGCTCATCACCCTTATGAAAGTGCCTTTTTCAGAGCCTGGAGGGTTCAGTGAAGAATTTGATGTGCTGCAGTTTAGCAGCCTATGGTATCCTATACTTACTTAATCAGATTTAAATCTGATGAGTGAGCTATCTACTCCATTAGAGTGATATCTTCTATGTCTAGGTATTCGTATACCAGAGATGCTTAGTGCAGTCAAGCATTGTCACCTATAAGCAAAAAATCCAGGCTGACTGCATTCCCAAGTCATCTTGTATGGGCTTCCGAGCAGTGGAGTAGCAAGCATAACTGCTGCCCGAGGCAAAATAACTTTCTGGCGCCCGTCCCGCAAAAAAAAAACACAGTGATATGATGAGAATTTTGTATAGAGACACAGACCCGGGGCTTCATGCACCCCCTTGCTCCCCTCGCTATGCCACTAGTTCTGAGACCCCATCCATATATCTGTAATCAATTACAGAAGTTCCGTCAAAGATATGCACCTCATTGCAGCCAGTTTTGATTATTTTACTCCAAACCATGCAACTGCTTGCATGGGATCTTTCACAAACAGGGTCTACTGGAGGTTGGGGCTCACTGTGAGATGCAGCTACTACTCTTGGTTTCTGTTTCACCATGGTAAGAATACCGCCTATGCGTTTGCTGTGCATGGTGACCCGTAGGGTGGGAAAGGAGGATCCTGGCAGTTGAGGGGCGAGGTACTGTCCCTAACACACTGCTTTGGCCTCTGCTTCTACTTAAAACGGGAGACACTTAGCTGTCCCCGCTAGTGTCAATTGGCTGGCCACTAGTCCTATTGATCAGTGGCTAGGGGATAAGCTCTCGGAAGTCTCCGCTTTTGGGAAAGCCGACTGTGGGGCTTCAGTTTGCGTATAGGCCCGGCTAGCCCTAACACAGGGATCTGTGTTCCCTTGTTGGAGCTCCATGGTGGGTGGGGCGGTCGGGCCCGAAACTTTCTCTCTTTTCAATATGAAAACTTTAACTTCTTCTCCTAACCATATGGATACGAAAAATTCTGGAGCTGCTAAAAGAATTTGCACTTCGACCTTAATTAGCACAAACAAATGTCCAAAGTTCTTAGTTATTACTGGTCAGCTAGAAAATCTATCACCATTCTTCATCCATAAGCATATTGTGGCCTCAGCAGGCGAGCCAAAACACATAAAAAAGCTCCGTTCAGGATCTCTGCTCATCGAGACTACATCTGATGCACAATCTTCCTCTCTCCTAAAAATGACCAAAATGGGGGAACATTCTATTACTGTATCCCCACATAAGTCTTTGAACACGTCAAGAGGTGTCATTTCGGAAATAGACTTGATATCAGTCTCTGAGGATGAACTTTCAAAAGAACTCGCCGAGCAAAATGTATGTGGCGTCCGCCGAATAAAAGTCCGTAGAGACGGGCAACTCGTCAACACAAAACATCTTATTCTGACTTTTCATCTCCAGAGCTACCGAAAGCCATTAAGGCAGGTTACCTGAATTGCCCCATCAGACCTTACGTGCCGAACCCACTGCGCTGCTTCAAGTGTCAACGGTTTGGCCATGCGAAGGCCGCATGCCGGGGAAACCTGGCATGTGCTCGCTGTTCTGCAGGTGGTCACGAAAGTCAGGAATGTGTAGCTGATCCAAAATGTGCAAACTGTCATGCCGATCATCCAGCATACTCACGAAACTGCCCTAAGTGGAAAGAAGAGAAAGAAATACAGCATATTAAGACTACAAGAAAAAATCTCCTATCCTGAAGCTAAGAAACTTTTTAGCACGGGTCAGTCAAAAGCAAATGTCTCCTATGCACAAGCCACTAAATCATATCGGTCAATAAGTACACAAACATCGCATAGCACACAGAAGAAGATACCTGAACCAAAAACAAATGACAAAGAAAAAGTTCTTTCTTCTACCTCCTCCCCAAACAGACAATAGAAAGTCGAGAAATAAAAACACAAGAAAACAGAGAGTTCAAAAAGAAAATCAAAAGCTCAGAAAAAGAGAAGCTCAAGCCGAAGCTCTATTGAAGGGACCTTTTCAGACTTTATCGAATCTGAGATGGAAACAGATGGAGGCAGAGATCTCTCGAAAAATGTTCTACCTCACAAAACAAAGAAACAGCATCGAAGCAATAAACATTCCTAATGGCTACTCTCATTTCGTGGAACTGCCGGGGCTTCTATCAGGGTATTGATGGCATTAAGCAACTTATTAATAAATATCGACCTATTTGTAT